ATTTTATTTTACTTTATTTTATTTTTAAAAAGATTTTATTTATTTATTTGACAGAGCAAGAGAGGGAACACAAGCAGGGGGAGTGGGAGAGGGAGAAGAAGGCTTTCCGCGGAGCAGGGAGCCCGATGCGGGGCCCGATCCTAGGATCCCAGGATCCTGGGATCAGGACCCGAGCTGAAGGCAGATGCTTAACTACTGAGCCACCCAGGCACCCCAAGGGCTGGATATTTTAGATAGGAGGCAAGTTTCATAGTTCCCTAGGTGGAGGATTGAAGGAATTTAGGTGGTCTTTAGGGAAGATTAGTTTGGAGGTAGTATCTCAGATAGAGTGGAAGGCCAAGAAAGCAGAAGCAGGGATTTAAGGGGCTGCTGCAACATCTAGGTGGGGTGCAGGGAATGGTGGCAGTGCTGACGGAAGGGTAGACTGAATATCGCTTTGAAGAAAGGCTTTTATCACTGATTGCATAATAGGATAAAGAAGGGAAAAGGGTCAAAGAGGACTCAAGGTTTTGCAGCTTGGGAACTGCAGAGCTGGTGCTGCCATCTATCAGGGGTGGGAGAATGGTGAGCAGGCCCTGGTTTGGGTATGGAAGTGACGTGATATTTTAAATTTTGAACTTGTTGATTTTGAGGTACCAGCTGGGAATCCCAAGTAAAGATGAGCTGGGAATTGCTATGAGGCTAGTATTAGGGAAAATTAGCTGGTTGCAAAGCTTAGGTAAATTTGGAGGGTTGAAGGCTAGGATCAAGGATACTACCTGGGAGGCTGTTCCAATAGACAGCCTAAATTTTATTAAAGCTAGAATTGAGGTAAAGATGTTAGGGAAGAGTGGAGAGGAAGGAGTAAATCTGTTAGGTGGTACTCACTCCAGGTCCTTGACTGCTGTGGGCACATAGCACGCCCTGGCCACTGGAGAGAGACACTAGCTGGTATCGTTAGCCAGACTTGGGAAACTCTGACTTTGCTGCCTCATACTCCCAATTTAGCTTGTAGGCATTTCCTCATAAAGAGTGTTTCTTGTCTTGACTTGGAACCTGAGCTATCCTTGGGCTTTGCAATTCTGCAGCACCACCTCCTGGTACAGCTTTTAATTACCAACCTGTACAGAGGGCTTTAGGACAACCACTCTGAAAGAGGATGCGAAGTGTGGAAAATAGCAGGGTAAAAGTGGCTTGAGACACTGACTGGGAGCTGCTAAGATTGCTGAGATGCATCCCTTGGTTGTGGTGGACAGACTGCCTGTGTTTACTAAGTAGAAACTGCCAGAAGGTCTAGGAAGATATTTTTCCTGTTTTACTTAACAGATAATCTAAGCCCCGGTTTATTTTTTTCCAAGTCTTGACATTGAAAAGTAGACCTTACATAGTTTCTCTGTAGGCCTTACTTAAGCCCATTCATGTCCCTGTCTACTACCACCTCCTCCCCCATTTTGAAATAAAATTCCTGCTTCCTACCTCCTCCACCTAGGATGCACTTAATTGTATCTTTTCTGTAGGCATTCCTTTGGTTAAAAGACAGTGGGCTAGTTTTTTCATCTTTCTTTTTGCTCGCTTACTTTAGAAGGCATTTCCTCCTCCAACAGATATGGGTTTAGAGTGTCCGGTGTGCAAAGAAGATTACACAGTTGATGAGGAAGTCCGGCAGTTACCCTGCAACCACTTCTTCCACAGCAGTTGTATTGTACCGTGGTTAGAACTGGTGAGTACAGACAGCTGTCGTGTGTTTTGGGCCATCTCTGCCAGTCACATCTCTTCGGGGTGGGGGGATGGTTTGGAGTTCACGGAGAGCCAAGCAGAGCAGATTTTAGTCGCTGGCTAATTCCTACTGGCGCCATTACCGCTTTTTAGATCACTACGTGTTTGGAATTTCTCTGACCAGAGGTTACCAGACCACAGCCCACAGGTCTCGGGCCTGCCACCTGTTTTTGTAAATGAAGTTTTCTTGGAACACAACTACGCTCATTTGTTTACAGTTGTCTGTGGCTACTTTTGTGCCATGTCAGAGTTGAGTGGTTGTGACACAGGTGGTGTGGCCTGTGAAGTCTAAAATATTTACTACCAGTCCCTTCACAGAAAGTTTGCTGACCGCTGCTCTAGACCATATCAGGTCACTTTCTTTCTTTCTTTTTTAAAGATTTTATTTATTTGAGAGAGAGAGAGCACATAAGTGGGAGGAGGGGGTTGTTGGGAGGGGCAGAGGGAGAGGGAAAAGCAGACTCCCCACTGAGCAGGGAGCCTGGATGTGGGGCTCCATCCCAGGACCCTGAGATCATGACCTGAGCCGAAGGCAGACCCTTAAGTGACTGAGCCGCCCAGGCGCCCCCAGATACTGTTTCTGGTTAGTTCTGTTTGGTGATGTGTGGTAGCTGTTGTTAAATTGCTGGCCTAGAATTCTGTCATTTCTGTTTAAAAGTTCGTTTGGGAGATGTCCTGGGTTATACCTTTGAGTCCAGCATGCACTGTGTGAGAATACATGCCCTTTCTGTTTTTCTACTGCCGGCTCTCAGGGTTTCTTAAGTGTTTAGCACTTCCAGCTTCTCAGGTCAGGCTATTTACACGGACATCTTTCTGTTTCAGCATGACACGTGTCCTGTATGTAGGAAGAGCTTAAATGGTGAGGACTCTACTCGGCAAACCCAGAGCTCTGAAGCCTCTGCAAGCAACAGATACAGCAGTGACAGCCAATTACATGACCGATGGACTTTCTGAAGCTAAAGCCTGCATCTGAGCCAGGGCTGTGGTAGTCTTCTTATCACAGCTGTCAATTGTATCAAAACAAAAAAATAGTAGGTGGATTTAGGAATTGCATAAGAAACCCCAACCCATAATATTAATGCAGTGAGTGTTTTTCTTCTCCAAATTTAAAGTTAGTATCTGCAGATGGAATTGTATCTACAACCAAATGCCTCTTATTCCTGAATTCAGAGTGATACTTTTATAAGTGTGAAACTTGATTATGTGGGTTTCCCCTGCCAGAATAGAATCACTTTACCTTAAAGTCTAGCTAGGGTCCCACTATCTGTCATGTTCTCTTGTAGTGGATGTTTCCACCTCCTTCTCTAACTTCCACCCTACCATTAGTGTATTTAATTATAGTAGATGCAGTGGAACCACAGTCCTAAAGTCCTGCTGATATAAAGTCTTTCTGTTTTAATTGTACAAAAGCATCTACTCTTGGTCACATAAGCCACAAAGCAAGATCAGATTAATTCAGGAATCTGAGACTAATGATTTTGTTTTGTTTTGAATCCTCAGAAAATCAAAGAAAAATTACAGTGGGGAGGAGCAAGTGGCCGATCATTGTACTCTTTGATTTTCTCATTTTAATTTTTTTTTTTTATTTTATTTTTTTTTTCTCATTTTAATTTTTAAAGACTACTTCACAAGGTGCAGTTTCTGCAGAAGCCAACATGACATATCTTAGGAATCTTACGTTGTTGGGAATCTGATTCTGGTTCCCTTTTGGAAATGAGTTGGGCAGCATACAGGCACAGAAGGACAGGTATTTGAAATCTTTGGTTCTGAGGTTTCTTTAATGACCCCCAACTCATTGTTTACTGCCTTTTGTCATAGGGACCTTAAAATAATTTCCCTCAGAAATAGAATTACTTTATTACTGCTTCTACAGCCAATTCACTGTTTTTAGTAATTCACTGGTCTTCAGGAATTGAGATTTCACATTGTCTCATTTTAATTTTTTAAGCCCTTTTATCATCTCTGAAATCTTTCTGTTCTGCTTGGTTCTGGTTGTACTTGGTATCAAACTGATTGTTGTGATCATGCCCGAAACAGCTTGGCCTTGGAGAGGTGGGACTTCTATTTTCAGCCTAACAGTGTCTCATTGCACATGCACATGCTCTTTGAAGCATTTAAGTGTTTAAAGTTGAATAAATGAAGAAGATCAAGAATGTTGTTGGAACTTTAGAGTCTCAAAAGGAAATGATGGGGGCATGTAACCACTGTTAGCGCACCATAGAGGGTGACAGGGGCTCCATTTGTCTGGTCACATCAGCCCTTCATAGTTTGGAATGATTCGAACAAGAAGGCCACTCTTTATGAGTGTCTTTCTTGGCTAGGAGTCTTTCCTCAGTTTTTGTTGACTATCATACACTGGTTTTGGGGCCGAGGGAAAGGGGTTAGAGATATCTTTGTACTTTGGCAGAGGATAAAGAAGTAGGGGAGGGAAGAGAGACAGTGGGAGAGTGGCTTGCTGAATTAACAGCCTGCCTCTAAAATTGTGACCAAAAAGTATGATTCGTGTTAGGCCCAGAGGAAATAAAAGATGTTTTCTCCTCTGCCTCTCATGTTATACCTCTGCAGAGATCATTTCTTTGGAGAATGTGAGCTATTTACTATGGGTATCGATGTGTAGCCTGCTACACATTGGTTTTGAGGGTGGGGGCCACTGGGGTCAAGAAGCTTAGGTGGGGGGGAGGGGTGAGAGGTATATTCTGAATATTTAATTGCCACTGCATAGATGGAGAAAGGCCATGCTGAAGTTGGAACACATTGTAGTTTTCAAGTAGAACAGTGTCCACTGTCTCAGAAAAATTATGACAGCCAGAAATTACTTTTATAACTTCATTCCTTTCATTCTGGAGATGCCAGACAAACAGTTGTGTTTTTACTACAAATAGAAAGCTAGAGAACCAGAAAGGATCTGAGTAGCTCACAAAGGGTCAGAAAGAAAGTACTGGATAGGGAGTTACCTTTTCAAAACACAGAATAGCAAATAGTGTCAGTCTCAGTTATCTGAAATTTTCTTCACTTTTTTTGCTCTGATAGAGGACATGAGGCTCCTTTTGCTGTTTCCTGTACCTTTTCCACTTAATGATTCTGTAGTGTCTCTTCCTCGGAGGTATCTTGGAATTGCAGGTTAATTTAGGTTAAGGAGTGTACTAGGGTTCTCCCGAGAAGCAGAATCAATAAGGCAATAGGGTGTGTGTGTGTGTGTGTGTGTGTGTCTCTGTGTGTGTGTGTCTGTGTGTGTCTGTGTGTGTGTGTGTCTGTGTGTGTGTGTGTCTGTGTGTGTGTCTGTGTAAAGAGATTTATTATAAGGAATTAGCTTGTGTGATTATGGAGGCTAAGAAGTTTCAAGATCTCCAGTCAGCCAGTCAGTAGATCTTATGGTGTAGTTCTAGTCTGATTCCAAAGGCCTGAGCACCAGGAGAGCCAGTGGTATAAATTCCAATGCAAAAGCTGGTGGAAGTTTTGAGACCCAAGAAAAGCCAGTTTTTGTTTTTAACATTTTATTTGAGAGAGAGCCAGAGAGCACGAGAGAGTGGGAGAAGCAGACTCCCTGCTGAGCAGGGAGGCTGGTGCAGGGCTTGATCCCAGGACCCTCAGATCATGACCTGAGCCAGAGGCAGATACTTAACTGACGAGCTACCCAGGCGCCCTGAAAAGCCAGTGTTTTAGTTTGAGTCCAAAGGCAGGAAAAGACTGATGTCCTAACTCAAACAGGCAAGAGGAGTTCTCCCTTGCTAGCTGGAGTGTCAGACATTTTGTTCTAGTTGGGCCTTTAACTGATTGGAGGAGGCCCACTGACATTGAGGAGAGCAATCTGCTCTAATTAGTCTACCTATTCAAATGTTAATCTTATCAGACATACCCTCACAGACACACCCAGAATAATCTGTGACCAAATATTTAGTTACTCCTTGGCTCAGCCAAGTTGACATAAAATTAACCATCACAGGAGGGAAAATAGAAATGCACACAGGGAGACAAACCATAAGAGACTCTAAATCTTAGGAAACAAACTGAGAGTTGCTGGAGGGGAGGGGGAGTGAGGGGTTGGGATAACTGGGGATGGGGTAACTGGGTGATGGACATTGGGGAGGGTATGTGTTGTAATGAGCATTGGGTATTATATAAGACTAATGAATCACAGACCTGTACCCCTGAAATAAATAATACATTATGTTAATTAATTGAATTTAAATTAAAAAGAAAGGCACACAGCAGAGTGATACCCATCCCGCTTAAGTTTTGCCAGATAAACAGTGTGTCTCTATGAGAAATGTCTGCTTTGCTTGGAGACCTCAGTAATAGGGTTAAAAAGTAGAAGAAATATATATGGGATGAGGGCCAATTTGCTGTGTGCAACATACCTATTTTTCTTCCTTAATGTAAATTAACCTGGAAGTCTGAGATGCCTCCCATTCTAGGAAGAAACATTGCAGATACATTGATCTAACACCGAAACATGGCTGGGGCTAAGGGTTAGTTTCTAGGAATGCCTTGCTCTTAAATGTTTCAAACAGTTTTAGATACAGTGCCCAAGGCAGAGGGCTACATAACCCTGACTTTTATAACTTCATTCCTTTACATTTGGAAGACTTACAGACTCAGGAATCTGGAGCCTTTATAGGAGTCAAAGGAGAGATGATTTAACTCTTGCTGATTGTCACAGAGAATAGGAAACAATTGCAATTTCAGATCTTGAACCCTTATACTTGAGGCCTTTATATTCATATTAAATGGCCTGTGGATTCCATGCAGAGCTAAACAGATTGTTTCCTTTTTTTTT